GTATGCCCAAACAAATTTGTAAGGGGTTGCCAGATAAATCTTAATTAATTCCATCTTTACATTAGTAGTGCATTTCCAAAATGAGATGGTAGCCAGTCCTAACCGAAGGTCACCCTATGAGAGGAAATCAAATTTTCCAAGGTGAAAGAGTAACTGTCATTGCATCCGCCACTTTATTCAGGGGGTGTGAGTGCATGCGTAGCTGTGTCTCCAGGCATAGCATACGGTAGTCGCGCAAGCGATTATTACACGAGGCGAGCTTGAGCTGAGTAAGTTAGTTCATTGGCCTACAGGGCCACAACTGAGTCAGCACTAAACAAAAATATGGAAAGGTAACTACTCATACTGTGCTGCTGTTGCCATTTTTTGCAACTATGATGACGGTTTTGGTCAATTCGTGCCTTTTTATGCCTTTTTCAATTCCAGTCTTTGTAAAGTCGTAAAATAGGTGATAAATTTGTAGGGTGACTAGCCGGCAGCTAGACTAAGCTTTAACAAAGTCAAGATGCGCAGGGTCTTGAATGCACTTTTTTGAGAACCACATACATTATTAAAATTACTGAGTGGATGCTGATGGGCAAAGAGGATCCGTCAAAACGTTTGCACAATTTGAACGTTGCAACGAATTTGACTGACTAATGAGATTTAGCGGAGTATGGAGGGGAATATTTTAATCTTTCTGGTTTCGTCTAAGACAGGTAGAGATGCCATATATTCTAATATTTTTTATTCTCTCTCTAGTAAATATTGTAACATTTTGATGCATGTATAGTGTGGCTTGCTGCATTTACCTGGGCATTCACATTCTCTTACTTGAGACATGTTCATACCATTGTATCTGCATATAAATAACTTTATTGACATATTGAGAACACATTTTGTCTTTCTAGCAGGAGCAGCTCGTGTCTCTAGGAGACAGCAAGAACCTGCAGAAGGTGGTACGAGAGATGGTGGGACGCCTGTTCTCAAAGCAAGTCCAGGAGCAGTTCTCCAGCCCTTCTGGGCTACCAAGGAAAGTCAAGGTTCAAGGACGCCATGATGTGTAAGGTGGTCATCGGTAATGCATATTCTTTACTAGCTATTAAATTGATGGTATCTCTATTGGAGCTCAATAGACAAGCACAATCTTTGAAACAGATTGACAATTAAAGGGAAACTGAAACACTTTTTGACAAAAAAACGAGTTATAGGTGACTTCTGGCGTATTTTTGTCCTGTGAATCTGAATATCACTTTCGTTTTCCCCGAAGGTGTAACTAGACGCGAGAAAACACGAAAAGCCTCAGAGCAGTCGTGACGTCGTACTAGGATCTTTGGGGCGCCAAGCACGTGTCGCTCGTGTGGGCGGCGCGTGCAATTGCAAGCTTGCCAGTTGTATTTTTCCACACTGATGCCAGTTGTGGCGTCTATTTCTGACCTTTTTACAAATACAAGAGTTCACGTGCATAGGTTTGACAGGAGCTGAAGATGAGCGAGAGCAGAAATTCCGAAAACTCCCAGCATGACGTCACGCCCCGGGAAGGAGGGGCTTCAGCTGTACTTTAGAAATTAATTTCTGCAGCCTCCGTGCACCAGATTGAAAAAATGAACTCGATATTCGTGATCCTGGATGCCATATCAAGACGATTTTGGTGTTCTTCCTCAAATACAGAACAGCTTCAGTTTCTTCTTAAGTCTTGCAATATGCAAAATTTAAGTCGTCAATTCCTGTCGTTATTTTTTTTTTTTTTTTTTAATTTGACTTGCATTTTTTTATTATGAATATCTCCTGTGTTACCATTCTCGGAACCTTCATACTGAAAAGCAGCGTCTTGAAGGAACTGTGAAAAAAGGTTTTTGTTGCTCTTGTCTTGTTATCCTGTTAGTTTCCAGGTTGAAAATCTAATGACGACCATTTAGAGGCCTTGGTCTGTAGAGTGTCAGTTGGGGAAGTTTTGCTCTTTTTTTAACCACTCATCTCTGCACCCCACCCCTTCTCGCCCTTGCCCCGTCTCGCCCCCCATTTCAGATTAATAGGATGTTGCGTGAAATAGCCATATGCCTCCATAGAATCTGCACCTTAGCGTGGTAGCCAAACGCACAATCTCCACCTCTGTGGTGCTCTCTTTCTGTCACCTTTGAATTGCAGGCTAAGTGAGGGACCTATATTTACACAAAGTAAACGCTCACAAACTGCAGTGTGTGAACAGCACCTTGTGTGTAGCTAATATGCAAGATATTGGCTTCCCCTATCCTTCAACTAATCTGTGTGATCTGACAATTCTCTTTACAGGTGCCATACAAAGTTGCACTCGTGCAGCGTGGACGCGGTGCAGAAGTGGCTGACGGGCAGGGAGGCGGGCAAGAGTTAAAAGAGTTAAAAAGACGGACACTCCACTGGTGGTTCCAACCGCCCTTGACGATGAGGGACACTCTGGCTGAGGAGCTAGCTGCTATGGATGCACGAGTCACAATAAAGAATGTCACGGTAAAAAAAAATTTGTATGTTCCCTTCTTGTACTACCCACAATATGCATCTGGGCGACAGATGAATGGGACATGTCGTCTCAACGAGTATACAGTAATTGCCATGAGTATACTGTATACATGGAGAAAGTCAATTGTTCACACAGAATTGTTTCTTAAAATTGCACAAATACTAAACCGGCTTTTTTCAGTTCAAGTCCAAGTTCAAGTGGGTACACTGAATAACGCATACACTGGTGCTGATCCGCAATTTCGCAGGCAATGACCTGCAATTATGCTGGCACTGATCTGTTTTTACGCTGGGACTAATCCGCAATTGGACTGGCTCTGACCCGGAAACACGCTGGCACACTGATGGTTTCCTACCGTACCACCGGTTCCATGCCGGGGATCTGTGTCGGGAGCTCGCTGGGAACATCCCGTATTCCCGGCATCCCGGTTTCCCAATAAGTTCCCAGTACCGGCCGGATTCCGGCATTGGGCCCGGCCAATGTCGCCCCTTGGGGCGTTTCCGGTACTGGCCGGTATCGTTATCCCGGCAGGCCAATACCGCCCCATCCCCAACCCGGCGTGTTGTGCTACTTGGGACGTGACCCGCGGTGGCTCCCGCGGTCGCCAACTAGAAATTCGTTTTGCGCCGTAAATATAGTTCTATTTTTTTCGTTGTAAATTTGTTTTAGAACAATTTTTTTCCATCAAGGCTGTTTAAATTATTTTCCCTTTGGATCGTATCATTTTTTAGAATTGTAAGCATCTTTAATTTTTTATTAATTATTAAACTATCCCAGTATGCGCTTTGTTATCTCTATTGCTGAAGTTGTGGGTGTTGGTAGCAGACTTGTACGTAATCCATTACAAGCATCAAGATTACTTGTCGTTCTATATTTTGATCAGTATTTCTGTAACGGAATAGTTACATATTTGCTAGAGTAATTGTAAAGTAACTAACTCCCTTGCGTGTTTACTTAACGGATTGATTGTCAACCCCTACATTCGGACCCACGGAATCTACAGGAAATGGGAGACCAGGTAAAAACGACTAACTATTGGCCATTCTTCGAACTGATTTCTTTTTTAAATTTCGGTGGCTTTCTTTAAAATGCAAGGCACCCTTTCATCTTCTCTCAAGCCCTCCCCCTAATTTCCTTTTTTTTTACAGCTTCTTATTTGGTGGTGTTACATCATAAATTCAAGGACCCCTCGCCCCATTCAAATATTTAGATTAATTGTATCGAGGTGCCTAAGCCTGGCAGAGTATAGCGATTAAATCAAAACATCATATTGCATTTCACTACTGAGCTACAAATACCTGTTTTGATACAGAGAGATACAGATACTTCAAAGCATATCTAAGTTAGTATCGAGATACATTGGTATCGCGATACCCACAACCCTGACTCAAAACACTAAAAAAAGGGACGGAAAAGCAACCAAACAGCGCACGAATGTCGCAGTATAAAGAACAGTTCCAGCCCTTTAAAAGAATGAACAACAATACAACAAACTACAGGGATATATTTTAGGTGCAAAATGTGCGAATATACTGTAAACAAGAGCGGATTTACGGTTTCAGTGCGATAAATACGGTCGAATTTTAATGAAAAGTAGACAGGTTTGGGCACTTGTTTGACTTTTCTTGCGATATTCGTGTGGTTTTCGGGCTCACATGTTTCAGCCTTTGTGCCTGGTTTATGCGGTGCGGCTTAACTTGCTGTTAGGTGTTGCAGTGTTGGTCGGAGGGCTGAGAAATCATGGTGGCAGCTGCATGGGCTTTACGTCCCAGTTGCAAATTCGCGAGCAAAATTGCACCATGCAAATCAGGCTTTACACTTGTAAAGCGTCCACAACCGTGACGGAACATTCAAAACCGAAATCAGGAAGTTTCTTTTCCTGTAATAGAATCGAACTTGTTGCCGGTACTTGCCGCAACTTGGCAATTAGTCAGGTGCCAGGAAAATGCCGTCCAAAGGGGTTTTCTGGCAATCGAATTGATGTCCGCGTGAGCTCCAGATCGTGTCTTATCGCTTACAAAAGGACTTGCGCTCGGGTTTTCCGATCGAACTATTGTGTGAATGACCGAAACCGCTGTGAGTAATTTATGACTAATTTCAGTTTTTGTGGCGATTGGTGTGTTGCAAAAGTTTTGGGATGAATGTGCAGATCAAACGAACCTGTATTCCGTTCAAGAAAGGGCAGGTAGATCTGTGAAGACCAATGCGAAAGAGCTTAGAACTTTTACAGGCATCCACATTTTCATGGGGATACTGAAGATACCACGGGTACGCATGTACTGGTCGCACCTTCTGAGTGTGGACATAATTACGGACGCAATGTCACGGGACATGTTTTTCGAACTACGAAGCCACCTACACTTTGCAGACAGGCTGTCTGTGACAGAAGAAGAAAAGAAAGAGAACAGGCTGTTCCTCCTCTAGCCAGTCATCAATTTTTTTCAGAAAAGCGTGCCTTGAGCTTCCCCGCTCAAAAGAACTGTGTGTAGACGAGCAGATGATTCATTTCACTGGCAGGTGCTCCATGCGCCAGTGCGTGCCAAGCAAACCCAACCCAGTTGGCCTAAAGAATTTCGTGTTGGCCGCGTCTGATGGTCTGGTTTTACACTTTATGATGTGCGTCGGGAAAGGGACAGTTCCTGATGCAGACATGAAAGAGCTCGGCCTTGGCGGAGGCGTCGTAAAAAGACTTGTTGAGACTGTCAACACAGATGAGGCAACATTTCTCTTCACCGATAGATATTTCGCAGGAGTGAAAGTGGCTGATTTTCTGCTTGACAACAACATTTTCCTAACGGGGACCATCGTGGCGAACCGTACCAACGGTGAAGCAGCAAGAATGCCGAATGACAGATCAATGAAGCGGGGTGAATCACATTGCAGAGTCCGGAGCGATGACAAGCTCTGTCTAGTGAAATGGAAAGACAACAAGTCAGTCCTTCTGTTGTCTACTGCCTTCGGCACTGTGCCAGAGGGTAAATGCCGGAGGTGGTCAAAAGACGAAAAGAAGAGAGTCGAAGTCACACAGCCCGACATTGTAGACAAATACAACCAGCACATGGGCGGAGTTTACCTCATTGACTGCTATGTTGCATACTATCGAATCACTGTTCGCAGTAGGAAATGGACGGTCCGCGTTTTCACACACTTCCTGGACATGGCACGCTACAACAGTTGGATAGAGTACCAGAGGGACTGCGACAACGCCATGGTTCTCAAAAAGGAGAGACTGGATCTGCTGCACTTCAAAGCAGTTATAGCTAATATGCTCATACAAGCAGAGTCTTCCACTGCAAGAGGGTCTCGAGAAAACGCACAGATCGACCAAGAACCGACTGTAAAGAAGAGGACCAAGGTAATTCCACTACCTCCGAATGAAGTACGGTACGACATGACTGGCCATTTTCCTGAGCACGTTAAGCTCAAGTTCCAGATGAAGTGCCGAAATCCTCATTGCAACGGAAAATCGAGAGTGAAATGCACAAAATGCCACGTTTTCCTTTGCCTACAGAACAAAAACTGTTTCCTGGACTTTCACAACCGTTAAGTCCCACAGTACTCCCTTGGGTACCAAGAAGCTCAGCACTATCCCTTTGTGTTTTTGAATAGTTACTTTTTTAAATGTTTATTTGCATCATTTGACACGCAATAAACAAGTTTCAAACACATTGCTAAAAAATTGCCGTCTCGGGACTGAGGAGATTATTGATTTTAACTTCCAAACTCAGTGACTTGCATCCAAATTTACTCAACTCATGAATATATACTTTCCAACTGAAAATTCATTACGAATCATAACATGTCTTTTTTCTCGCAAAGTATTTGCTTTTTTGATTTCAGTCTGAGCGGCCAAGATTTTGCACTAAAATCCTCACGTCAGATGTTGTTATGTGGTAAAATCACAGTTTGCTTCCGTCTGGTTAAAATAAATTCGGGGCGACCTCACGCCAGGAAAACACAAAAAAGAAATGCGCAATATACTGTGTTGTTTAGACTACCTGCTCAACTTGCAAGTCATATAACATATGTCGTAACCTCACAATAGGGCGCATGGAGGGATCGGTATCGGTGTGGGTTAGTGGAAATTAGCTCCTAGCACGCGGAGCGAAAGCTCGCGCTGCAGAATCCAGGATCCTGGGGCTCAATCTCCACCCGTGCCCGTTTCGATCTGGATGAGCATCGTACTGGCCTGCGGTCGTGTATCACTACTGTGTGGTGCACGTTAAAGACCCCCAGGCTAGCGGTTGTACTGCACTGGCTAAATTGCTCATCTACAGCGAGTGACTCGTCGTAACTTTGAAATGCCTGACCAACTACACGCTGTAAAAATATCCACATAACCCGAAGTAGCAAAAGCTTAAAACGTAACAACGCCATGTTGAGTGCGCAGACGGGCTAGTTTCTTCTTTTACGTCGTGTTCCCGAAAAAAATATAATTAGAGTGTAGTTGTTTTTCCCACCGAAAATAAACTACGCATCGTTGAACGCCCAAGTGCGACAGGTCCGGACAACACACAACGTTTTATAAACTTTCCGTTTTCTTAAAAAACAAAAACAAGAGGAAAAACATTAAGCTGATTTATAAAAGCGCTTAAAGGTAAAATTGCAGCCGAAAACCTCCACCAATGCATGGGGACAAACGTCGTCAGCTGCCGGAAATGGGTGTTGTTTTTACACTCGATGTTTAACAAAATCTCATACTTTTGTATGAGATAATGGTGCGTGTGAAGCTTTCCCTTCTGGTCCCAATCGTTATCGCTACATTTCTGAGAAAACTTGCAATCGGCGATGCATAGCTTATCTTGGAAGGAAAAAAAAAGCATTTTAAGGACAGGTTGTAGATATGCTCAAGAGCCCTGGGCGTAGGAACTTGCACGAAGAATGTAAAAACAACACAGCGACGTTGGACAGGGGTCTATCATAATTTATTTAAATCAAAATATATGCAACCACTAAATAAATGGCGTCATTCATTAACTCTAGGAAGTAGGAACGCCCTGTCAATATAGAAATAAGATTAAAAAAGCGAGAGGTATTTTATCGCCCGCCTCTCCTTCCTCTGGACATGACATGTTGACTATAAAGAAAAATAAACCGGTCAGCAAAATTAAATTTCGAATCTCAGACAATCAGGCACGTATCATAAATTAATTCCGGTACAGTCCGAGTGTTCGACAATATAAAAGTCTGGAAATGACATTCTGAATTTCATGAGAAGTGCACTTTGAAATCATGGAAGCCTAATTTTAACTCAAACCTTCAAGCTGAAACGCGAAGCTTGAGCTAAACTGAAGAATCCGGCCGAACTTGATATTGAGCCTAACTGAATCGCTCTGGCCGAACTGAAGTTAGCCAAATCGGGCATTCAGCCAAATTCAAGCGGTATGATCGAATTGGAGATTTGGCTAAATTGGGAGCTATCAGCCTAATGGCCACCTCGGCCAGATTTTGAGGACACAAGCACCTCCGAGATAAAAAAAAAAAAAAAAAAAAAAAAAAAAAAAACAATACCTGCTGAATTCGCTTGAGTCACTCAAACAGGCGACCGTAGGGTGCAGACTGCATACAGGGGCGACATTATCATTCGGGTAGGGCTCGTCTCCAATCAGTGATATCCCGAATCCCAGACGAACGATGACGTCGCAATTCCTGCAGCACTCTCCCGATTTCATATGTGTGGGTGACACTTCTGTTGACTCTGAAGTTTGGGTTTAGGTAAAAGTAACAAAAAACAGATATTCTTTTAAGTTTGTACCGGGACATTATAGTAGCTATTATTATAGAATAACAGCTACAGTAGATTGCAGTTATGCTCATACCCTTTGTTTTTGCGTCCCAATTTTTCGCGAATCGGTCACGGAGGACATAATTGCGGCCACTAAATTTCGCGAATTCTAGACACCTGCATCGAAACTCTTAAGGGCCGAAATTTAAGCGTGCCTTTAAATTTCACAAATATTTCAAGTCCCGAAATTCGCAAGAATTAAGGGCTCAGGAAAATTAAGGGTTTTATAGGAGTTGATATCAATCAGATGAATGAATTGCACTGATAGAGTAGAATATTTGGAACGACGCCATTAAAAGACGCTAATTTTGGGCGGATCTGTGATTCGAGATACGGGCCTCCCAATATCCGGTGGGGTGTGCCAACATACGCTGGAAAACAAGGCCACAATGCGGACACTTCTGCGTCACCAGCGAGGGCCAACGCTGGGCACAGATTAGAAACCAGTACGGCATCAGCGCTCGGCTTCGAGCCGAGTTTGATCTGAACGTTGACGCAATCGTTTTGTTCAATCGGTGACTAGAATTGGCCTTCTCTGATGACTCCATCTCATTCAGCACTACAGCTTTGTTATCCAGGATGTCTTAGGTACGCTGACCAGTACACCCCACCACCTTCTTGTTTTCTTTTTTGCTTAATTGCATTAGGGAACAGTGCACCTGAATCTTTCTTGAGACTTGTCATGCAATATAAATTCACCTCTATTTCTCCTGGTAGAGAACGCTAAAACTTTATCTTCTCAGTAGGTGCATTATGCTGTAAAAGTTGAAACAAAGCTTACATGGGGTTCTTTTTTTTATCCAGGTCTGAACGCTACACATGCATTCGGGCTTCCACAATAGCAGATAAGCTATAGTTGGACGACCATATCGCGCGAGTACCGTTACTTGCATTCGCAGTGAAGTATTGGATCGTCCTTGGATTATTATTTAGCTCTTTTGTGTCCCCTGAAGGACGGTCAAGATGAAAACTGTGCTTGAAAAAAAAAAAAATATGGTCATTTCTAGAATTTGTAGGATTACTCTTGCTGCCACACTCCTCGGGGAAAGACGCAATGCGCTGATCCAAAAACATGTAGTTATTTGTTGACTTTTTCTCCCACGCCACGACCCAGAAAAGCCCCCCGCATTCCTCTGCGCGTGCCCCTTACCAGCGACGGGGCGCCTCTCGCGTGGCCGTGGCTCATTGCGCTTCGCCACATCGCGGAAGAAATTACAAGATTTATCATGTAGGCGATTTGGTCGAACGCTGCGGATCACCAGGCCAACCACAAGTGGATCCGCTGCGGATCACCTGGCCAGCCAAAAGTTCCAGGCTCTTTACAAAGCAAGCAATCGACATACCATGCCACGCGGACACTCCTTCCATTCAGCCACACTTTCACAAACAGGGTCCACAGTGCAGTTTAAAGAAGAACGATTTTCCGTATGGGGGAACGCAAACTTTTTCCATCGCGAAATAACTTAATGTCTGTTGCCCCCTAGGAAAGGCCGCTTTAATACAGAGGTGCCGTGAACAAGAATCTATAAGGTAAAGAGAAAGCGTTTTCCTACAGACAGAAGCAAAGGTACTCGTACAAAACTCTCACTGACAAGTAATTGTGTTGCCTCAAATTTTAGTACAGACGGAAATTAGGCTGCCTCAAAGACCTGTCAGCTGTAGATGAGAAATATAGCCAGAGCGGTATAGTAATTGTGTTGCCTCAAATTTTAGTACAGACGGAAATTAGGCTGCCTCAAAGACCTGTCAGCTGTAGATGAGAAATTTATCCAGAGCGGTACAACAACTAGCCTGGTCTCTTTAACGTGCATCGGGCAGTAGTGGTACACGGCTTTATACCGGTACGATGCTCATCCGGATCGATACGGGCAAGGGTGGGGATTGAAATCAGGATCCCTGGGTTCTGGAGTGCGAGCTTTCGTTACATTTGCTCCGAACTGAGGTTCGCTAACCCACTCGGCCACCGATCCCCCAATCCCACTGAAATAAATTGTTGGAGCACACTGTGTTGGCATTATGGCGTTCCCTATTTGCTTTTCGCATTCACCGAACGGAATAGATAAAGTCAGAGTAAGTCTAGCGGTACATAACCCCGCGTGGAAACTGGTACGACGCCTGCCGCCATGCTAACACGCATGATTTCTTGTTCATGTACATACATTCACGATTTCCTTCGCAAACTTACAAGCGTGAGATGAATTTCTTACAAACTTCGAATTTATATTAAAAAAAATACCCCCCCCCGCAGTTTTTTTTTGTTCTTTTATTTTTATTGTTAACGACTAAGTTTAAAATCTGAACCAAAAAAAAACAAAAAACACAAGTAGCTTTGTACAAACTCCTCCTAACGCAATTCAGTTAGAAAGAGAACTTGACGCTTACACCATCGATTCCTATCCATCGAAATCGTGGGAAGTTTCGAGTACTCTCAAAATAGCGAATGGCTTACGTCTTGTCGGGGTCATGACACGGCCACGGAAAACGTCTGCGAGTCGCTCCTTACTTGGCTAGGGTCTACGCAAGAAGTTGTATGTCACCGAAGTAGTGCAAACTCTGCTGCCGGTTTCCTCGACTTCCCGGCGACGCTGAGAGGCATATCGGCGTGTTGTTTAGGACTCAGGTCGCGTCCTGTCCGCCTCGTCAAGGTCGTGTTTCTCTTGATCTTGTCCTCAGCAGAGTACTAAAGAAGTCAAACGATGGAAATCGATGCACGATGCATAGTGTTACGCACTTTTCACGACAAACCAAATGTCAATTCACTG